TTTCTCCCCTCCCTTCCTCCCTCCTCCCTTCCTCTCCTCCCCTCCACTCTCCCTTCCTGTCTCCTCTGTCTCTCAGCATCTAGATCCTCCCAAACTCCTCCCTCCCAGCCAGGACACCATGCACAGAAATCATTCACCTGGACTCAGGCATTTAGCAAAACGCAGACTTCCTCAAGTTACTTCCTGGGCCCCTACCCTCCCTAGTTCGCCAGGAGGCCAGTGATCCTTATTCAGGGTACCTGCCCCAAATGAGAGAAATGTAGTCAGAAGGAGCTCAGATGAAAGGCTCAGGGTGCCCGTCCGCCGTGTCTGCTGTCCAGTGTCCTTTCCCCTTAGGGTTTTCTCAGGGACCTCTGCTCCACTTCGCTCTGCACGTCCCCATTGCGCCTCCAGTCCCACAGCCTCCACCTGCATCCAAGCTCAGACTCAGCTCTCTTGTCCAGAGAAGACCCTGATATGACCAGCCGCCCAGACATCCTGGCTCAAAGTCCCCAGTCTCTCATCCAGTTTGTCCCTCACAGGTGCCCAGAGCTGACCCTCCTCTTCCCTGCTCCAAGCCTACCCATGGCTCCCCAGCACCCCAGGACAGTCCTATATTCAGAACCCTGACTGGGAGGAGCCGGCTATGCACCCCACACCCACACCCGTGCTTCAGCCTTTATGCTTGAAAACATCAACCCGCCTGTACTTTTCTCACTGGCCAGGGCATTTCTTACCTCGGATGCCCTTCCCAGTCCACCTTCCAACCCCAGCCCCACCCCCAAGCCCTTACCCTGGCGAAATCCTCATCAGTCAGGATCCAGCTCCTCCAGGACGTCCCCTCCTCCAGGAAGCCCTCCCTGACTCCCCCGCTGGATTGGTGCATCCTCACATTGGTCTGTGGTTTTCTGTTTACACAGCTGTCTCCTTCATCAGATTGGCATCTCCTCAAGGGCAGGGTCCTGGTCTGAGTCATCTCTGTGTGCCTGGCATCGCCCAGCCGAGAGCCTGGGCCACCAAGGGCACAGGAGATGTCCCTGTGGTGAACAAATGTTCCTTCTTCTGCTTTCTCTCCATTTCTGCCTTATTATCTCCCCACTCTCTGCTCCTTCTGTCCTGGTGTTCTGTAAACCACACCCCGAGGGTTTCTGAGGATAACTGAAATCGTGGGAGGGCCACTGTGGACCCAGGACAGGGACCTGAGATCAGCCTGCACTGCGGGGAGGGTTCTGGGAGAGAGGGTGCTACTGAGGGGAGCAGGAGGGGTCCCACCACCACCAGTCCCTGCCTCTTGTGGGCAGGCCCAGTTTCATCTCTCATGGTCCTTCAGCTCTTGTCTTGGCTGCTTCCAGCCTTGGTCATCTCTCCCTGCAAGGAATTCTGGAGGCTGGACATCAGAGTCCGAGGGAGGAGGGGGTGGGAGGCCTGGACCCCTGGGTCTGAGGGAGGAGGGGCTGGGGCCTGGACTCCAGGGTCTGAGGGAGGAGGGCCTGGGGGCCTAGACTCCTGGATCCTGCAGGAGGAAACCATTGGGGTGTAAAGTCCTGGTCTCTCCTTCTTCATCCACACTCTGGTTTTAGAAACATCTGGTTTTATACAGCTGCTCCACCCAGGGAGGGCAGGGTGGGGGCGGGGCAGCCAAATGCTGGGCTTCTGAGTGGAGCCTGGGCTGCCCCTCATCCCCACCCCGGGGAAGTGGAATCACCCTCCCCTCCTGCTCTGGGCTTGGCTCCCACTGGGAGGACCCATCATCCTGACACACTCAGACACCAGGCGGAGGCTCAGGCTCCTGGCCACAGCGTCAGAGGCTGTCGGCTGGCCCTGCCCTGCTGGGATGGGTGGGGTGCCCCTCACTTGGGCCCTGAACTGGCCTTCTTCTCCCTGACAGGCACGCTCAGGCAAAGGTACAACCTGGCCCTAGGCCCCCACATCCTGACTCCCCGGGGAAACCCAGGGAGTGAGGACTTGGCATCTTGCAGGGGAAAGCTCCAGGACAGGCTGGACGAGACGGAGCGCAGGGAAAAGGGAGGACTTAGAGCCAGAAAAACAAAGTGAAATCGTGAATGAGAGAGAGAGACAGAGAGACATATACAGACATCGAGCCTCAGAGATACACAGAGATGCAGAGAGACCGAGGGAGAATAGAGACCGAGAGATAGAGAGAGACAGAGACAGAGAAAGGAGAAGCAGAGAAACAAAAACTGGGAGACAGAAATAAAAAGGGTAAGGATACAGATATTCAGAGAGAAATGGAGAGAAGGAGACAGCCATATACAAAGAGAGAGGAGGCAGAGAAACACAGGAGAGAGAAAGAGAGCATGAGAAAGGATGAGAAAGTCAGGGAGAGACACTGAGAAAGAAAGGGCACAGAATAAGAAAGTCAGGGAGCCCGAGAGTCAGAAATTTGGAGACAGACAGACACAAACCCAGAGGGAAGCAGGCAGAAATGGACACAGAGAGAGGGAAGAAGCAGAGAGAGAGAAAAATGACAAAGCTAGGGAGGCGGGAGAGAACCAGACAGACAGATAGATGGTCAGAAAAACAGAGCCAGGGAGACAGAGACAAAATGACAAAGAGAGAAGACAGAGAAAGAAGGAGATGAGGACTTAGAGATAAAGGATCAGAGTCACAGACACAGGGAGAAACGGAGAGAGACAGCTGTGGAGGGAGAGAGAGACACTACCAGGTCAGTGAGAGGAGTGGAGAGAAAGAATTAGGTGCAGAGGTTTTTTAAAAAAAACTCATGCAAGAAGGGCATAGAAACAATGACGTTTATCACTGAGTCTGCTGGTCCTGAGGGCTGGGGCTCAGATGCCCCAAGACCTGGGGCTCTGGAGTTGGCCTCTGGGAGGCCACTCCCACTTTCCTCTGACTCAGTTTCCAGGTGGCTCCTGGGGCAGCTGACCACCAACTCCTGAGTTCAGCCCCCAGCCCGGGGGAGACAGATCCCAGTGCTCCAGTCCCTCCTCAGCCCCTGGCACACACACACATGCACATGCACACGCATGTACGCCCAGACCCACACCAATTAGTGCTGAACATTCACTCACAGCTCCACTTCCAGACAGCCGTGCCTGACAAGCCAGAGCACAGTCACACCCACAAACACGCACGTGTGTGCATCTTATTCCATCTGCCATTTGCCCAGACAAGCCCCTGGGGGACAGTCTGCCAGCGGCTGTCGGGAGAGGCCGTATGTGGGGCGACTGGGGTGGGCGAGAAGCAGGGAGAGACGAGGAAGAAAGAAAGGGACGGAGAGAAATACAGACACAGGATAAGAGAGATGAGAAAATGGGAGAGAAGCACAGAGCAAGAGAGAGAGAGGAAGAAACGGCGGGGAGAGACGGGGATGAGGGGAGCGATGGGGGGACCTAGGAGGAGAGGGAAGGGAGCCCCCTCTGGGCGCGGGGGATGGGGGTGATGGCGGGAAGCGGGTGGAGCTGCCCGGCTCGGCCGTGACCTCACAGCCCCTGGCCCAGTTCAGCCCTGACGTCAGGCCCTGCTCCCGCCCCCGCCTGAGCTGGTCTTCAAAGGATCCCCCAGCTCTCCGGGCACAGGGCACAGAGAGACTGGGACGGGAGCGGAGGGAGAGAGCCGGCGGACCCGCAGCCATGAGACAGGTGTGTGCGTGTGACTGCGACCCTGTGGGGGAGCCCCACGTCTGTGACAACGTGTGTGGGGAGACTGTGTGAGAGATTTCCTGTGTGTGCTCATGTGGGTGACAGTGACTATCTGTGTGGGGCAGTGACCACGTGAGGCTGTGTATGGATGGCCATCCCGCCTATACGAACGTGAGATGTGACATGTCCATGTTTATCTTGCTGTAAATCCGTGTGTGTGTGTGTGTGTGTGTGCCAGGGATGGGGAGAGAGGGCCAGAGGGAGAGCAGGACTTGCCTGACACGTGGGTCTGGATTTCTCCTTTTATGTGTTCAACAAATCTTAGGTTGAACCAAATGAAATCGCCGATATCTGCTCACTTTTGACCTGTAAAAATGGCAATTTCATACGGTTCAATCTCAACTGTTACTATTTCTTCTCAAACTCTGCCCCGTTGTTCCAGACCCACGGGTGGGTGTCTGTGTGTCTGTTGCCTTGTGGGCATCTCCCAGAGTTGCTCCTTCCTGCCGAAAGGTGTGTGTGCCCAAGTCCACCTGTGTGGCTGTCAGAGGGGTGGGTCTCAGGATCCCTAAGTGCTACTTGAGGGCAGGTGTCTGGGGTCGTGTCCTAGAACGTGGGTGTTGTCCTATGTGGGCACATTCTGTGTGTCCCTCGTCACGTGTGACTATACCTGGCTGGAGGTTGTGTCCACGGCCAATACACGTGTGTCTGTGCGCGTTGCTGAGATTAGAACCCTCTGGATGCCCACCTATCTCTGTTCTCCCCAGCATGAACTGGGCCACCCCCAGAAACTCAGGCAGGGCCTGGTTTGGGGCAAAGGGACAGAGAAGGAAGATTCCAGAAGAAATAATAATAATTGTTAATATTGAGCGATTACTAACGCCAGGCTAAAAGCTCTCTCTTAGTTATGTCCTAGAGAAACATAACGTGAGCCACATACATAATCTAAAATTTTCTAGTAGCCACATTTAAAAAGGTAAAAAGAAACTGGTGAAATGAATTTTAATAATATGTTTGATTTAACCCCATGTATCAGGGACTGGCAAACTTTCTGAACAAGGCCGGATAGTCAATATTTGAGGTTTTGCAGGTCATACAGTCTCTGTTGCAACGACTGAACTTTGACGTAATGTGAAATCAGTCATAGACAACATGTGAACAGGCGAGTACGGTTGTGTGCCAAAAAAGTTTGACTTAAGGACACTGAAATTTGAATTTATAATATTAAAAATTATAATTTAAATTATAATATTAAATTAAAATTAAAAATTCTAATATAATTTTTATGTGTCTCAAAATGTTCTTCTTTGACTTTTTTCAACCATTTAAAAACGTAAAAACCATTCTTAGCTGGCAGGTCGTGGTGAAAAGGTGGCAGGCATTCGGCCCTTGGTGCCAGAGTGTGCCGACCTCTGCTCTATATCAAAAATATTATCATTTCAGTCTGTAATCAATACAGAAATATTGAGATATTTTACCTTCTTTTTTGTACTCAGGCTTCAAATTCCAGATGTGTAAGCACATCTCACGCAGATGCTGCATTTTCCTTGGAAATACTTAATCTGTATTTAAATCTCGTAAAATTTACTGTTGAAAAGAAGCTTCATAGATCCCACTTGTTCCAAACATACTTAAAAGCTTTCCAATAACTGAGTATCAGTGTTTACATTTAAATCAGTTTAAATTAAATAAAATTTAAAAGTCAGCTCCTCAGTCACACTGGCTGCATTTCAGGTGCCCAGTAGCCACAGGTGGCCGGTGACTCCTGCACTGCACAACACGGATCTTTAGCTTAATGGCTCATTTGACTCATAACAAGCCCATGAGGTGGGAACCGGTGACCTAGGAGGCCGTTTAGCACAGAGGAGGACGATGGAGCCAGGCTGTCTGAGTGACCTCCAGCAAAGGAATACACTTCCTGTGCCTCAGTTTCCTCATCTGTAACAGGAGAGAGGGTTCAAATCCCGGCCCCTCCACTTTCCAGGTGTGACCTTGGCCGGGTTGCTGTGCCTCTGTGTGACTCAGCTGCCTCATCCGTAAAACCGGGATGATGATAATAGTACCGACCTCATAGGGCTGTTGTGAGGACTAAACTGTTAGTGCCTAAGAGGCTTAGAGCAGCGCCTGGTACATACCATACTGCATTATTCTTTTAGACGGATATGATTATTACTGTTACCATCTCGACTCTAAGAAACCATTGATTGTGAGATGAATCATTATTTTATGTGCCACGAAGAAAGGGAGGGACCCTGCTAAACTGTGACACTCCATTGAGGGTAATCCTCATAGATTTAAGAGCTGTTAAAAATGTGAAAAAAGTGTATTAGAATCAATATAATCAGGCATTATGCCTCGATAACTGTTTGCCACAATTTTTTTCATTGATGAAAATAACTTTGCAGTAGTTAAGAGATGTTCTCTACAAAAAGGGGATGTTACCGTCCCCTTGGGGAAAAACACCCAGGAGGTCTTCCCTTCCCCAGGACGATTTCAGCACTCTTTTCCCTTGCTCTCCCCTCTCTGCGCTCCCAGCAGGACGTCCCCAAGCCCAGCCCTGCAGCGCACCACTGCTCTGGCCTGGTCCGGCGGGTGCTGACCATCGCCTTCGCGCTGCTCATCCTGGGCCTCATGACCTGGGCCTACGCCGCGGGCGTGCCGCTGGCCTCCGATCGCTACGGCCTCCTGGCCTTCGGCCTCTACGGGGCCTTCCTGTCGGTGCACCTGGTGGCGCAGAGCCTCTTCGCGTACCTGGAGCACCGGCGGGGCGCGGCGGCGGCGCGGCGGGCGGCTGCGCGGGGGCCCCTGGACGCGGCCTCGGCGCGCAGCGTGGCCCTGACCATCTCGGCGTACCAGGAGGACCCGGCCTACCTGCGCCAGTGCCTGGCGTCCGCCCGCGCCCTGCTCTACCCGCGCACGCGCCTGCGCGTCCTCATGGTGGTGGACGGCAACCGCGCCGAGGACCTCTACATGGTCGACATGTTCCGCGAGATCTTCGCCGACGAGGACCCCGCCACCTACGTGTGGGACGGCAACTACCACCAGCCCTGGGAACCCGCGGCGGCGGGCGCGGCGGGCGAGGGCGCCTACCGGGAGGTGGAGGCTGAGGACCCCGGGCGGCTGGCGGTGGAGGCGCTGGTGAGGACGCGCAGGTGCGTGTGCGTGGCGCAGCGCTGGGGCGGCAAGCGCGAGGTCATGTACACCGCCTTCAAGGCTCTTGGCGACTCGGTGGACTACGTGCAGGTGAGCAGAAGGTGCCCCCAGCCCCCATGACCAGAACGCCCCAATCCCACTTCCCTGGGTCCTTGCTTGATGTAGAGATTGGAACGGACCTCTTCCTTCCTCTGTGTATTCATTCATCCATTCAATGTAGAGATTCTTTCTTTCCCTCATTCTTCCATCCATCTATCCAATATGTAGGTCATTCATTCCTTTTATTTTTTCATTTATCCTTTCAACATAGAGATTCATCATTTCTTCCCTTCTTCATGGGTTCATCCATTTGATGCAGACTCCTCTTCAGTCATTCACTCATCCATCCATCTAGTACAAAGGTCATTCATTCCTTTATTCATCCATTCAATTTAGAGATTCATTCACTGATGCATTGCATTAGTTTTCTATTGCTGCATAACAAATTACCACAAATCTGGCAGCTTGAAACAAAACACAATTATTACCTTATAGTTTCCATGAATCAGGAGTCTGGGCCAAGCTTAACTGGATCCTCTGTTCAGGGTATTATCAGGTTGTGGTCGTGGTGTCAGCTGGAGCTGGGTCTTATCTAGGGTTCAGGGGCCTCTTCCAAGCTCATGAGTTTGTTGGCAGAATTCATTTTCTTGCCATCATAGAATTCATAGTAGCTTGTCTCTTACAGACCAGCAAGAGAAAGTCTTTGACTTCTAGACCTTCTTTTAAAGGGCTCATCCGATTAGGCCAGGCCCACCCAGGATCATCTCCCTTTGATTCACTTAAAGCCAACAGATAGGGACCTTAATTACATTGCAAAACCCCTTCACCATTTCCACATAAGGTAATATAATCAAGGGAGATATAGCCATAGTCCATTGGTTAGAAGCAAGTTACAGGTCTTGCCCACACACCAGAGGAGGGTATTAAACAAGAGCGTGGGTCTCAGGGCAGTATCATCTTAAAATGGGATTAGACATTGAAAAGGACTAAAAAATTCAAAGTTACATTCAGATTCGCTGCACAGTGTCTCAGCTGCTCATCCTTTATCCCTCCCCTCAAGCACCAGCCCCGTGCAGGGATCTGGTCTGACCCTGGCCTCTTTCACCCCACAGGTCTGTGACTCGGACACGAGGCTGGACCCCATGGCACTGCTGGAGCTGGTGCGGGTGCTGGACGAGGACCCCCAAGTGGGAGCTGTTGGGGGGGATGTGAGGATCCTTAACCCTCTGGACTCCTGGGTCAGCTTCCTAAGCAGCCTGCGATACTGGGTGGCCTTCAATGTGGAGCGGGCTTGTCAGAGCTACTTCCATTGTGTGTCCTGCATCAGTGGTCCCCTAGGTGAGCAGGGGTAGGGCTTGAGAGGGCCATGGATGGGGTAAAGAGGGAGAAGGGGAGCCGGCACAGGTTGAGGATGTGATTGAGATTGGAGACAAAGATGGGGCTGGGACAGGAATTGGGGATAGGGATAAGATTGGAAGCTGGAGGAGGGGATGATATTTGGCGTTGGGAATGGATGGGAGAAAGGGTATGGATGCGGATTTGGGTTGGGGCTGGGGGAGGGTTTGAGGAAAGGGAGAGAGTGTAGTTGGAGTCAAGGACAGGATTGGGGCCAGGTTTGGAGTTGGAAATGAATTTTTGAGTGAAGATGAGTAGGGGATGGGGCTAAGAATGGATGTGGGATTAGGGATGGGGTTGGGGTGGGTTTGCTGCCAAAGTGGGTGTGGGTCAGGGACAGGATTAGGGGAAGTTTGGGATGAGTATGGGATTGATGATGGATTTGTGGTTGAGAACAAGATTGGGGCTGCCGTTGCCGTTGGAGGTAGGGCTGAGAGTGGTATTGAGATGGTTAAGGATGGAGCTAGAATTGGAGATAGGGGATGGAGTTGGCATTAGCAGAGGCTGATACTCTTTTACTCCCCACTCCCACCTAGGCCTATACAGGAACAACCTCCTGCAGCAGTTCCTTGAGGCCTGGTACAACCAGAAGTTCCTGGGCACCCACTGTACCTTTGGGGATGACCGGCACCTCACTAACCGTATGCTCAGCATGGGCTATGCCACCAAGTAAGCTGAAGGGCTGGGTGGTCAGGTGTGTGCTGGAGGTCAATGAGTATCCCAGCAAGTGTGCGTGTGTGTGTGTGTGTGTGTGTGTGTGTGTATGCATGTGTTGGTAATTCTCCGAACTCAAGTAACTCACAGGACAATGGGCTGTACCAAGGGAGGCATTAGGGGAGATTGGAAGGTACCATAAGGGGCAGAGGGCGCATTTTCGTTGAACCATGTGACCCAATGGACTTTATCAAGGAGGTCAGGGTGAGGGTGGGGAATTCTACCTGGAAGATACAACAGAGATGGGCCGAGATGGCTTTACCGTGGAGAAAGGAGATTACTCCAAGTGAGGTGGGAAGGGGAAGAAATGAATAGATAGAGTGGGATCTAAATAGAGTGAGCAAGAAGAATCAAGAGGGAAAGGAGGGGAGCAACCAAACTCTAGTGGGTGCCTCAGGAAGAAAAGATGTAATTCCCTGAGACTCGAGGAGGAGATGGGCTAAACCAGGTAAGGTTCAGAAGAAAGTGGTGTCTACAAAGTTAGACCCAGTAAAAGGGCCAGAGAGAACCTGGGGACCCCATGCATTCATTTGCCCAACAAATATTCTTTAAGTGCCTACAATGTATTAAGCTGTAGGGAGGCAGCAGTATGAAAAAGAGACACAAATTCGTGCTTACATTGAGGGAGACAGACAATAAATAAGATAAATAAGTAGAATGTCTAGTATGTTAGATAATAATGCCTGCTAAGGAGATAAATAAAGTCAGGAAGGGGAATAGGAAGTTTTGGGGTAGGGAATGAAATGTTAAATAGGGTACCCGAGGAAAGAGAGGGATGGAGGCTGAAATAGTGCATCTGGAGCAATAGCAAGGGAGAGCGTCAGGAGAGGAGGACAGAGAGTTACCAGGGGGCCATTCATGAGCCGCCTGTAGGCCACGGTAAGAACTTTGAACTAAGATGAGGGAGCCCTGGGAGGGTTCTGAGTAGAGGGGTGACATGTTGTAACAGGATCCCTGCGGCAGCTGTTTTGAGTACAGACTGCAGAGGGCACTGCGGTCAGCAGGGAGCCCATTGAGGATGCCAAGTGACACCGGGGAAGGAGACTAGACACCGTGGGGGTAGAACAGTTTGACCCCTCCTAACAAACTGCTGTTGGCCACCTGATGACCTTCCATAAAAGGGCTTCTAGCCTCCTATGGGCTTAGCTGGACAGGGTAGGGGTTGATTAGTGATGTCTGCCATGGCCACAGGAGGGGACTTTATGTTCCCTTGAGAAGCTCTAACACATGGGCTACCTTAGGTGGGAACCATGCCTGGCTGGTTCCTCACCACGGGGCCAGCCAATAATGATGAGCGCCATAGTATTCATAACAGATTAATGACAGCATTAGTAACAGTGTCAGTAACCGCAATGATATTAGTAATGCAACAGTGATATTAGTCACAGTAAAAACAGCAGTGGTAGCTAACGTTTATTGGGCAAGTACAATATACTGATCCTAAGCACTTGGCATTTAATCCTCATTCAGTCCTCACCATAGCCCTGTTAGGTAGAAACCATGATGGATCCCATTTTATATATGAGAACTCCGAGGCCCAGAGACGTTAAGAAAACTGGCCCCAGTGGCCATCTGGCCCCGCTTCCCGACTCCCGTCCGGCCAGCAGGGGGAGCCGTGCTGACCATTCCTTCTTCCCCGGGTCCAGGTACACCGCCCGCTCCCGCTGCTACTCGGAGACGCCCTCGTCCTTCCTGCGCTGGCTGAGTCAGCAGACGCGCTGGTCCAAGTCGTACTTCCGCGAGTGGCTGTACAACGCGCTGTGGTGGCACCGACACCACGCGTGGATGACCTACGAGGCGGTGGTCTCAGGCCTCTTCCCCTTCTTCGTGGCGGCCACCGTGCTGCGGCTCTTCTACGCCGGCCGCCCGTGGGCGCTGCTCTGGGTGCTGCTGTGCGTGCAGGGCGTGGCGCTGGCCAAGGCGGCCTTCGCGGCCTGGCTGCGGGGCTGCGCGCGCATGGTGCTGCTCTCGCTCTACGCGCCCCTCTACATGTGCGGCCTCCTGCCCGCCAAGTTCCTGGCGCTGGCCACCATGAACCAGAGCGGCTGGGGCACCTCGGGCCGGAGGAAACTGGCGGCCAACTACGTCCCTGTGCTGCCGCTGGCGCTCTGGGCTCTGCTGCTGCTCGGCGGCCTGGTGCGCAGCGTGGCGCACGAGGCCACGGCCGACTGGAGCGGCCCTTCGCGGGCCGCCGAGGCCTATCATCTGGCCGCCGGAGCGGGTGCCTACGTGGGGTACTGGGCGGTCATGCTCACGTTCTACTGGGTGGGCGTGCGGAGGCTCTGCCGGCGGCGGGCGGGGGGCTACCGCGTCCAGGTGTGAGGCCAGGTGCGCGGGGCTCCCGCCCAGGGGCGTTCAGGGGAGGCCCAAGGAAACCTGCCGGGGCCCCGGGGCTGCGAACTTGCTGGCGGATTCTCTGGGCCTCAGTTTCCCTCCTCTGTGAAGTGAGGGAGTCGACCCAAGATTTTGCAGCCTGGACTCTCTTTTGGGGCTGGGACTTCTGGGTCTCTGGGGAGGGGTATTTATTGAACAGGGTGTGGATTTTTAGGGGTGGGGAAAGGGGTCCCCACATGCTGTCCTGGGCCCAATTTCTCCCTGTCCTTATTTAATCTCCATTCGTACTGTGTGATTAGGATATAATAAAGAATTTTATTTATTTTCTTCTGAGTCTCCTCCCTTTTCTGAGAACTGAGGGGGCTGCACGGTCAAGAATTGAGGACTCGTGGCTGAGTCTCGGTGCCAGCTCTTTGAATCTAGACAGGATACCCTCCTTCGTTGGAGCCTCGGTTCCCTCTTGGAAGATAGGGGTATTAATTCCATGGGTCAGGGTTGTTGTGAGGGGACAATTTCTCAACCTGTCATTCACAGCTTCTTATGGCGCACCAACCACATGCCGACACTGTTAGGCACTGTGGATGGAGTTTCCCTGGTCCATCCGCTCGGCTACTAGGAAAGGTAACTCAAACCTTCTCTCCCAAAAGCCCCAGCACCTCACCTTAGCTTGTTTCGTATCTCACTGAGAAAACACAGGTGACAAGAAGACGACTCTCAGAGTCCCCACCTCCACGTCTTCCCATTCATCTGCAACTGTGCCCACACAGGCCACCTTCCCCTGTTACTGAGGGTGAACAGTCTGTGCTCTGAGCCAATGCCAAACCCTTCCACTTGGGCACTAGACCTCATGTCCTCTGATGTACTCAAAGATCTTACTCCCACGGTTCTTCCCGCCTCTCCTCCATCATCAGTGCTTCCCTCTCTCCCGGGTCTTTCCCATCAGCACCTAAATGTGCTGTTACTCTGATTTTTTTTTTTTTAGGAAGATTAGCCCTAAGCTAACATTTGCTGCCAATCCTCCTCTTTTTGCTGAGGAAGACTGTCCCTGAGCTAACATCCGTGCCCATCTTCCTCTACTTTATATGTGGCTTGCCAAGTGGTGCCATGGCTGCACCTGGGATCCGAACTGGTGAACCCCGGGCCACCAAAGGGGAACGTGCGAATTTAACCACTGCGCCACCAGGCTGGCCCCCTGTTACTCTCTGATTTTTAAGACTCCCTGTCTTCACTTTAGTTTCCCCTCAAGCTACTGTCCCATATTTCTAACAGCAAAATTCCTTGAAGGCTGTCTCTATTGGTCTTCAATGCTCTCCCACAAAGTTTGCCCATTTAAAGTGTATAATTCAATGGTCTTTAGTAAGTTTATAGATTTGCGTAGCCATCATCATAATCTTCCCAAAGGAACCCCACAGCGGTTGGCCTCTCCTTCCTCACCCCTCTTCCCCACCCCGACCCTCCCAGCTAAGCAACCATGATGGACTTTCTGTCTCTACGGATTTGCCTATTCCGGACATCTCATATAAATGGAATCATGCAATGTGTGCTCTTTTGTGGCTGACTTCTTTCATTAAGCGTGTTTACAAGGTTCATCCATGTTGTTGTATGTGTCAATGATCCACTCCTTTTTATCACCAAATAATATTCCATTGCAGGAATATAGCACATTTAGTTTACCCAGTTACCAACTGATCGACATTTAGGATGTTTCCACTTTTTGGCTATTGTGAATAATGCTATGAACATTCACATGTAAGTTTTTGTGTGGATGTATGTTTTTAATTTTCTAGGGCTGGAATTGCTGAGTCATATGGTAATTCTATGTTTAATTTATTGAGAACTGCCAGATGGTTTTCCACAATGGCTGTACCATCTTACATTCCCACCAGCAAAGTATGAGGATTCTGGTTTCACTACATCCTCACCAACATTTGTTATTACCCAACTTTTTGATCATAGCTAGCGTGTGAAGTGGTATCTCATTGTGGTTTGATTTGCATTTCCCTAATGACTAAGTATATTGACTCCCACTGACTTGTAAACCCATGCCCAAGAGAGGGTCGCCCCCACCGCTCCATGGAAATTGCTCTTGTCAAGTTCACCAATGATTTCCACATTGCCAAAACCAATGGCCAATTCTCAGGCCTCCTGTTTCATAATCTGGCAGCAGCTGACCCAGTTGATCCCTCTCTCCTCCTCGAAATGCTTCCTGCACTTGGCTTTCAGAATGCCACAGCTGCCTTGCTTCCCCCCTTGGCTTTCCTTCTCGGTTCCTCTTAATGTTGCTGATGCTTAATTTTGGAGAAACAACTTCTCATCTCCTTCTCTTATCCACCTACACTCGTTTCCTCTGTGCATCCACTGTTATGGCTCTGAATGCCTCATTCATGCTCCATGCCTGGAGGTGGGACGCTGAAACTTATCTTCAGATCAGACTTTGCCCCTAAACTCCAGACTTGTACATCCAACTGCCTCTGAGACATTTTCACTTGGATACCTAATAACTAGACCCAACTCCTGATCTATCCTCCCTTCCTCCTCCTTAACTCCCATGAAACCTGCTCCTCCATTAGCTCAGTAAACAGAACTCCATCCTTCCAGCTGCTCAGACCAAAAATGCTAGAGCTGCACTGTCCACAACAGGAACCAGCACCACATGGGACTATTTCAATTTTCATTCATTCATTGATTCAATCAATCAGTCATAAAAATGTTTACCAAGTACCTATTGGATTCCAAAACCTGCCATGTTTGCAAATACGGAAGTGATTAAAAGCCTGCCTTCCAGAAGTGCCTAGTCAAGGCAACAAAGAGTGTAACCAATGGTTAAAGATCCAGTTAAGGATCCCCAGACACAGGCCTCTATGAGGGGGGCAATTTAGATTTAAATTAGTAAAGCTATAAAAGATTATAAATTCGGGCCTTCAGTTGCACTGGCCACATTTCACGTGCTTCAGGGCCCCATGTGGCTGGTGGCTGCCATACTAGACAGCAGAGATCTAGAACATTTCCATCATGGTGGAGAGTTCTACGGGACATCGCTGCTGTCCTGACCCCTGATCCTTGACCCTCCTTTTTCCTTTCTCTCGTCCTCAACATTCTGATCCATCAGCAAATCCCACTGATTCTAGCTTCAGGACAGATCTAGAACCACTGCTCCTCATCTTCGTGTCACCACTTTGTCCACGAGCTGCATCTGTCCTGGTTTAAAGCTGCTATCTCATTCTGGATGACGACAGCACCTAACAGTGACCCCTGCTTCCACCCTTGCCCCCTACAGTCTGTTACCCAGGCACTAGCCGTGTAAATCAAATCAAGTCATGACCTTTCTGGGCTCAGAAACCACCCATGATCTCATCCTGAGGAAAATCCAGACCTTACAGTGACCGAGGTTCTGCATGATCTGGTCTGCATTCTCTGTGACCTCACTGCATACTCATTGTAGAAACCCCTGCTCCAGCTGCACCGGCCTCCCGGCTATTCCCTCTGCACCAGGCGTGCTCCTGCCGTTTCTTCTGCCTGGAACACTGCACACAGATATCCACATGGCTCACGCCCTCCTTCCCTTCTTTTTCTTTCAATATATTTTATTGAAAATAAATACGTTATTCTTTAATTATACTGGCAGACATCACTTGAATGTATGCAGAATGAGTCACTGCTATTCCTGTGTTAGATACCAGAAGCAGAACTACATTCAAGTGTGGGGCCTTCTCCAAAGGTCCACCCCACCCCCAACATTCCCTATCTGTTTCCTGCTTTATTTTCTCCATCAAACATATTACACGACTTCATGAATATTTTATTTTGCTTAAATTTCTTGTTTACTGTCAGACCATTCATTAGAATCTAAATTCCATGTGGGTGCAGACTTTTGTCTGTTCTCTTTTTTTTTTTAAAGATTTCCCTGAGCTAACATCTGGTGCCAATCTTCCTCTTTTTTTCCTTCTTCTCCCCAAAGGTTCCCAGTACCTAGTTGCATATTTTAGTTGTAGGTCCTTCTAGTTCTGCTATGTGGGACACCACCTCAGCATGGCTTGATGAGTGGTGCCAGGTCTGCGCCCAGGATCCGAACCAGTGAAACCCTGGGTCCCCGAAGTGGAGCGTATGAACTTAACCACTCGGCCATGGGGCCAGCTCCTGTTCTGATTTCTTCATTGCTGTCTCTACAGGGCCTTGAAAATGCGTGACACATAGTAAGCACTCGGTAAATCTCTGCCGAATGAATGAATCAGTGAGGGGAAGACGTCAGTGAATGAGAATGAGTACATGCCCAGAAGGAATTTATCTTTTAGATGGGGAAGACACAAAACCAAATAAGAAAATAAGTTTACATTAGGTCTGGATGAGTGCTAGGCACAAGCTAAAATAGGGAGCTGTCAGTCATGGGGAAGGGGAGCAGTCAGAGAAGGTGACATTTGAGCTGAGACCTGCGGGGTGATAGGCAGGTGGCTTCGTGAGATTCACAGTAGTTATTTCAAGTACAAAAGGACAGCACATGCAAAGGCCCAGAGACAGGAGTGAGCTTTCCATGTTCAACGGACAGAAAAAGGCAGCCAGTGGGCCTAGAGAGTAAAGAGGGGGATGAGAGGGAGGTGGGGTCAGTAAATAAACACAGTGCCCGCCGCACAGAGTTGTCGGGGGTGGGGGGAGGGGTTAAATGGGTTAACACAGTAAAGGCTCTTCAGGGGAAACCATCACTGAGTTAACTAAACAAAAAAGGGAGAAAACATTATTCTAGGGAGGAAATAGCATGGAATCAGGTCCTGGAAAGGGCGAGAAGAACCATTATGAACACAAGGAAGGAGCAGAGGCCAGAGAAACTGTGGGGTAGAAAGATCAGGGAGGAAAAGTGGTGGTGGGGGAAAAGGCTAGCGAAGTCAGCAAGGGCCACAACCTGGGGCCTTGCAGGCCTTGATAAGGAATTGGATTTTGTTCCGATGGCAAGAGGGAGCCACTGAAGGGTTTTGAGCAGAGGAGTGACCCGAGCTGACATTCTTTAAAGTGGCTGCCATTGTGATGGACTGCGGTGGGACAAGGCTGAGCAGAGGCAGGGAAGCCAGTGGGGACGCTGCTGCAGTGACCCAGGCAAGAGATGGTGGTGACTGGGACCACAGAGAGACGGCACCTTTGTGAGATGCTTGGGAATTAAAATACTGACACTTGGAAATAGATTAGAAGAAGAGGAAGACTCTTAGGTTTCTGGCTGAGCAGCTGGGTGGACGGTGGTGCCCGTCATGACAGTGGGACAGCCTGGGGAGGAACGGACTTTCAGGGCGACATCTAGGACTCTGTTTGACGGTGTCTGCTGCAGGAGGCTGCCAGAAATCTGCGGAGGGGTCTGAGCTTGTACCGAAAATCCTCAGCACGGGGCCTTGTGCTGCGACAGCTGTGCATGTTACTGTTATCGTGGACGCCTATTCACCTGCGCATGTTCGGGGTAGGCGGCCCCTCCCCCCGTTAGTAGAGACCGCCTTCAAAGATAAAAGACTCTATAGAGCTGAAATATATTCTTTATTTTAGAAACGCAAATAGGATAAGGAAGGGAGAAAAAGATACCTTTGTCAGTTGCCACTGAAGTACCATCGAAAGAACATCCTGGGGAGACAAGAAGGGGTTTGAGTGTGTGGGGAAGAGGTTAAGGACCAGAAATCTGGGTCCTGGAAGCCTGGATCCCAAAGGCAGGGCGTGGACTCCTGGGCCTGAGGGAGGAGGGGCTGGGAGCCTGGACTCCTGGGTCTGAGGAAGAAGAGAGAAGGATGCTGGGACTCTGGAGTCCTCGGGACTCACCACGCCAGCAAGGTCAGACTCGCTGATGCTATGGCCGCGGTGGCCGCTAGCAGGCACTGGTTGCTGGGCGTCAGGGCTTCAGGCGTGGCCAGCAGCTCGCCCAGACTCGGTCTCCAGGGTTCGATCATCTCCGCCTCCCGCGGCGCCCAAAGTAAAACTTCGCGAAAGGAGCTTTGGAGCTCGGTCTCCTTGATCGGGGGCGAGCCCGTCACTGCGGAGGCGCGCACGTCAGCCGGGTGCGAGCCCGGCCCCCGGCGCAGCCCGGCCCTCCACGCAGCCCCGCCCGCACCGTTAAGAAAGAAGTAGAGCCGCGCCAGGAGGCGCTGGTCGTGCTTGATCACGCAAGAGAAGGTCCCGCGGTGCGTGGGCTGCACCGGCCGGATCCGCGCCAGGTAGCCTTCGGCCCGCGGTATGTTTCGGAAGTAGGAGGGGTCCTGAGTCCGGAGCTGCGGGACGCTCGGGCTGAAGCAGCGAGAGGAGCGGTGCCCCGTCCCCGCCCCGAGCCCATGTCAGATTCTCTGCGGCCCGACTCTCCGAACTGCAACCTACAAGGCCCGCCCCCGAGCTAGACCACGCCCTCTCGAGCCTTGGCTCCCCCGTCAGTGCTGACTCGCTGGTCCTCCACGCAGAGCCCGCCTCCCAAGTCTTGGCTCCACCCCGTGGGCCTGGTACTTATTTTCCGGCCCTGAATACTTATGCATAAGCCACCCCCTGAGCCCCGGTCGTGCTTTCTGAGCCTTGATCCCTCCCCTAAACGCCAGGACCCTCCCCTTGCAGGAAGCCTGAATCGAGACCGAGCTCCCGTGACACCCACCGCCTGGGTCCTGACCACCCATCCTCTAGTAAAGCGTCACCCGCCTGCTAAATCCTCTGCGCCGGCCCCGCCCCGACTCACACCTCCTCCTGCGAACCTCCAGGAATAGGTGATCTCCTCTTTAGGCAGCTGGAAGTTCACGGTGCAAGAGAACATGGCCTGCTGACCCCGGGTCACCGTCACATCCTGAACTGAAGACGGGCCGCGTCACCATCCCGGCCCCGCCCCAGGCCACCCCCTTCGCCGCTCTGCTCTCGCTGCTCCGGTTCATCGGGTTCCTGGCCCTCCCAGGCCCCGCCCCTCACCTGGGCAGTCCAGCGGGAGGTCGCAGACTGTGGAGTAGCAGCCGCGGCAGCGGAAGCGCCGAGCGACCTCCTGGAGTCCTGTGGGGCGGGAATGCGGGGTCTGGGCTCCCTCTGCCTTCCCCAGGCCGCGTCCCCTTGGCCAACTTAAAGTGTGTTTAGCCTTCCTGGGTTCCATCGGCGGACACACTCTGGACCCCGCCTCCCCTGCGCTCATTGGCTCTCTCACCACTAGGATTCCTATTGGTTTGCTATGGCTTTCAGACCCGCCTTCTCTGAGGTTTGTGAACAATACCTGGTTGACTGACGTTCCTCCAGGGCTTTTAGTGGCCTCCTTCGGATCGGAGGCCCACCCATGCTCTCCCACTCGAAGTTCTACGTTTCATTGCCGACCACCTCCTTCCTCCCCCAATTCTGAGCTTTGAATGAATTGCTTACCGCAGGGAGGGATGCAGGCCGGGGCTGTGGAGAGAGAGGAAGCATTACTACCCTGCAAGTCGCGGGAGGTGCTGAAGCTTCCCTACAGGGTGTTACTGGGCCGGATGCATTCCTCCGAGGGGGCAGAGCAAGGCCTGCAGCGGTCCACCCAGGGGGCGGGGTCAGGGCTGCGGTGTTCCACCTGAGGACCGGGCCAGGCCTGCAGCATCCCACTGAGAGGTCAGGTACAGGCCTGCTGCATGCGCCAAGGAGGCTGGGCCAGCTCTGGTGTATTCCACTTGAGGGAAGAGGGCTACATCCTGGGCGATGCTCGGAGAGAACAGGGTCGAATTAGGGGACCCAGTTAGAAAAGAGGTGTGGCCAGGCTGGAAGTAGCCCACTGAGGAGGCCCAGTTGGATAGGAAATCCTTCACAGTGTGGGCAGGGCCAGACCCAGAGATCCAGGAAGAGGTCCGGGCTCATCTGGGACAGGACCATCCCAAGAAGGGGTCCTAGTAGAGAAAACCTTTGGCCGAAGGGGCAGGACCAGACCCAGAGTGGTCGATGCTGGGAAAGAGACCGTGTCCAGAGTGGCCCACCAAGGGAAGCAGGTTGGGCCAGGATAGAAGAGATGGAAGAGACGGAAGAGAGACGGCCAGGATATTGGACTAGAGAGAGCCGCCGGAGTCTCTGTGCGTGCCTGGGGGAAGGAGACGGAATCTGTTCTACCTTCTTTAAGCTGTGTAATGACCTCCTGTATTTTCTGCGCAGCATCAGGGAAGGCAACCTCAAAGGACCCTGGAGGGTGGAGGGGGGCCTTGGAGTAAACGCCCTTCCCCTATGGCTGGCCGAGCAGGCCAGTACTGTGATGGTGTCTCGGCTTCTTGCCCAGCCCCTCCCCATCCCTGTCTCTGGTATATACCACATCCTCCCTGATTCTCACCTCCTCCCACCCTGTCTACCGGGAGGGCTGACGAGTCCCCAGTCTCCTTCCATCTGCTTCCTAACCATCTCTCTGATGGAACCCATCATCTACATTTATCTTGTTGAGAGGAAACATTCCTCACCAAGGCGTACTGGGCCCTATATGGTCTGGCCTAGTTTCCTCTCCCTATGACTCACCTTTCATTTCTTCTAATAGCAAAAGAACCACATTCTCCAGCACCTTAGGGCCTTTGCAAGTGCTGGCTTCTCTTTCCACCTACTCCTCTCATCCTTCATGTCGACCCTTGGGTCACCACATTAGAGGTTTTCCTTAACCACAAATCTAGTCGAATCCAGTTCCCTACTTTTGTCTCCCATAGTTCAATGCCCCATTCATTCCATTCAGAGCTCTCACCAGTTTGTAATTGCATCTATTTATATAATGGTGATCATTTAAGTCTGTCTCTTAAGTAAGTGGACATGTCCTTCTTTAGTGCTGTGTCCTCAGAACCAAGGAGAGGGCCCTGAGTCTTAGCAAATGCTCAATGAGGATGAGTAGAATGAATTCCATGGAGACCACAACTGGTGGCCGGTGGCCCCAATCCATCTCTTGGATGTGTTACATTTGGCCAGGAAAGTATTTAAAAAAACAAAATGAATGAGTTGCCATCATGTGAAATTTGGAAAAGTCACATAAAATGCTTGGCATCTCTCTAAAAAAATTTGGAAGCACTGTAACACTGTATTTCAACGAGACAGCCATTTGATGGAGCTTAGGCACCCGCCCCTTCTCCATCATCCCCAGACACGATTCTCTTCTGCTCCTCTTTCACTTTTTTATGTTCTCTGTCCTTAGGGGTGACTGACTTTTGGACACTGTCACGGCCTGCAAACTGTAAGGTTTTGTGCTTTTTCCAAAGTGGATGGCTGGATTGATGGAGTGGCGGAAGTGGTTTTGGAAATCTGAAATGTGGAAGGAACTGCGCCCCTCCCAAATTCATGTGCTGAAGTCCTAACCCCCAGTTCCTCCAAATGTGACTGTACTTGGAAACAGAATCTTAAAGCGGTCATTAAATTAAAATGAGGTCATCAGAGTGGGCCTTGATCCAATATGACTAATCTCCTTCTAAGAGGAAGTTTGGACACAGATAGACACAGAGGGAAGACCATGTGAGGACACAAGGAAAAGATGGTCATCTACAAGCCAACGAGAGAGGCCTCAGAAGGGACCAACCCTGCCGACACTGACACCATGATCTTGGGCTTCTAGCCTCCAGAATTGTGAGAAAATAACTATCTGTTGCTTAAGGCCTCCAGTCTGTGATACTTTGTTACAGTGGCCCTAGCAAAATAATCCACCGGGATTGCGGGATTGCGAGTGCCTCCAAATGTCTATTTTCTCTTTAGGAACAGAACACTCCATTTCAGCCAGGAAAGGAGTCCCCAGATAAAAGACTACATTTCGCAGTGTTCCTTGCAGCCAGTTGTGGTCATATGATCTAGTTGTGGTCCCATGACCAGGTTCTGGCCATTGAGATCTAAGTGGAAGAGTCATGTGGGAGAGTCAACAGGAAGAAGCTTTAAAAGAGAAGTGATGTCATCTTATTGATCCCTTCCCCTTTCTCCATTCTGCTGCCTGAAATTTGGATTTGATGGCTGGAGCTCCAGCAGTCATATAGGACCATGAGGACAAGGGCTATAACCTAGGATGGTAGAGCAGAAATCTAGAAGGAGCTTGGGTCCCCAAGAATATAGAGCTGCCACACTAGCCTTAATGGCCTACCTCAAGTCTTACTTTAAATGGGAGAAATAAACTTTTAGCTTGTTTATGCCATTGCAGGTTCCTCTGCAATTTAAAACCATACAAAAAGGGAGAGAATGGAGCATATTGGCAAGAGTGTGGCTGAAGTGATGCTCACTGGGTATAAACTGGAGAGGGGGGTCACTGAAGCCAGGAAGTGGGTTCAGAATGAGGGGTCAAGGACTTAGAGGTCTCTCCTTGGCCACAGAGCAGGCGTGTGGTCTGGAGATGGGAGTATGATCAGGAGGATGTGGTCAGAGTGGGGCGCTCAAATGAGAGGCCAGGATGTTGGAGTCATCATCCAGGGAATATCTTTGGGCCAAACCCAGGACCTGGAGGGGAGGGTGAGTGTGGGCTATACTAAGTGGGCCATGGAGCAGGGTGTGTTCTCTGTAGAGTAAATCATGCCAGGAAAGTGGGGATGGAGTGAAATGTCTAAAGAGGCCAAGGGGTGGGGTTATATCAAGTGAACCACAAGGGGGCGCGGGTGGACGTTGTCAAGTCTTCCCCAAAAGTGTGTGTCATTAGGAGCTTCAGCTGTTTCTGATCATCTGAGTTTGAGTCCTGGCTCGTCCATCTACGAGCACACCTGTCTCAGATCTGAGATATCCATCCCAAGTCCTCCTCCCTCTGTGACTCTGGCCAAGTGAATGAACCTTCCTGATCCACAATCTCCTCATTTATAAAATGGGACGACCCCAGTGTCTACCTCACGAGTTTTTAATGCCATACAACCTAAAAGCATCCCCATCCCAAATGATGTGCCAGCCGCCGTTTAATGACTGCGTGAGAAGGTTTGTCAGCGCTTAAAATAGTGCCTGGCAGACAGCGTTACGGAAGGGGCAGCTATTAGTACGACCGTCCCCAAGTTTGAGTTGGGGAAACTGAGGCACAGAGAGGTTAGGAAGGTGGCCCAAGGTCACATAGCTAGATTTGAAGCCAGGCACTTGGGCTCCAGAGCCTCTGCGTGTAACCACTGCCTGTGGTGTATTCCCTGCTCTCTACACCATAACACCCACTGCATGGTTTATATATGGTCTCACTCCACCACCAAGAGCCACTCTAAGTCAGCAAGTCCATCTCTCAGGTCCTCCATCTGGGAGAGACTGGGGTGGGAGTGGGGGGGTCATCCTGGCTTCTTCCCATCCTCCTCATCCCACATACATCTGGTCCAGCTATCTCCCGAGTCTGTCTTCCCTGTCTAGCTGAGCCCCAACTTTGTCATCTGGAAAATGGGGCCATGAAACCCCACCTCACAGGCCTGGTACGAGGATTTCCCTAAAGGGGATAATTGGCATAAATAACTCTCTGTCTCGCAGACACAGCCTCTCCCATGTACAGACAGGTTTGGCAGAGACACAGTCAAATTCTTGATCTTCCTTCTCCTCCATTCTCATGCCCCACCCCCCTCAGCTCAGCCCTCATCTTGGCCCACCTGGACCACTGAGACTGGCCTGGGCCACCACCGACCATCTCCCCACTGGTCTCCCTGCTTCTCCCTTTGTCCCCCATGGCCTTAGTCAAATCCTGTCTCTCTCTCCCTCCTCAAAATCCTCCAATGGCTCCCCTATCTCAGAGCAAAAGCCAAAGTCAGTCCAAGGGCCTACAAGACTGGTTCTCAAAGCGTGTTCCTGGAGCAGCAGCGGCACATGGAAACTTGTTAGAAATGTCCACTTCCAGGCCCCACCTCAGACCTACTGGTCAGAAACAGAGGGTGGGGCCCAAGGGTCTGCATCTTAACAAGCTCCCAGGAGATTCTGATGTACGCTGGGCTTGAGAACCACTGGCCTAGAAGGCCCTACAGGATGTGCCCCTTTCTGCCTCTCTGATTGCATCTCCTCTCACTTTCTCCCTTAATGATTCCACTCCAGCCCCACTGGCCCCAGGGCCTTTGCACTGGCTCTTCCCTCTGCCTAGATGGCTCTTTCCCCAGATTATTGACATGGCTCTCACTGTCACCTCCCTCAGGTCTGTGCTCAATTGGACCCTCTCACTTGTGCCTTCCCTCACCAACCTATTTTAAATGATCACCCCATCGGCCACCTCGCTCCTTTCCCTTCTCTGTTTTCCTCCACAGCACGGATCGCCAACAGACATACTGTAGTATTTCACTGATTATGTTTATTGTCTGTCCCCCATCCCTCCCTACAATATAGGCAACCTGAGGGCAGGCAGTGTGCAGTTTTGGGCACAGCTGGGTCCCTAATGTTGTTCCTGGCACATTCAATAAGTATCTGTGGAACGTATTGCACCAGCTTCTCCCGGCCTCCAGTCCATCCTCTGCACAGCCCTGGAGGATCTTTCTATACCCAGAGCTGATGCTCGCCGCCCATCGCCTGCTCACAGCCTGCTCCTCCAGGACAGAATCTCAAGTCTCCCTGACCTTTCAACTGAACCCTGGACCATGTATCTAGCTGACTCCTGGATGTCCCCGGGACCCCTCACAGTCACTGCGTCCTAGCTCAGCTCACCATCTGCCCCTACTCCTGCTCCTTCTCCTGGGCCCCCCTCCACCGGGATGGCCCACTGCCCACGCAGGCCGACGCTGTCCTCTAACCCCTCCCTGAACAGCCCATCAGACCCAAGCCCCATCCCTCCTGCCCTCGACTCTCTCAGCAGGTCCCCTCTTCACCTTCACAGCCCCCGCCCCAGCTCCAGCCTCCTTTCGCCCAGCCTCCACTCAGGCCTCCCAGCCTCCACTCTCTCCTGGCTCCAGTCCATCCCCCACACAGCTCTAGACGACCTTCTACAACCAGAGCTAGGCTCTTTCCTGCTTTTTTTTCTGTGACAAGACAGCCCACGTGGGGAGAAAGGGCGTCTCCTTGGGTCCCGAGCCCCCTGCCAGCTCCAGCTCCTCAGGTCCTGCTTTAGGGGCGGGGAATCCCCCAACTGAAGTCTTCTCCATGCCGGCCCCCCAGACACCTCTTGGATGGACAGGAAGCTCCCCATCTTTGGGGGTTTTTGCCAAAAAGCTTGGTGGACAAGAGCAGGAAGCAAAAGGAGTAACTTTAGACGTAGAAATAAGCCCCGAGCCCCGGACCTCTGCGGTGGCTGGTTTATGCTTCTCAGCAGCACTCGGGCCTCCCTCCACCCCCAACAGTTCCAGTCTCTGGCAGATTCAGGGGGATCACGTGTCGTGTGACCATGGTGACCTGGTGTGATTATTGCTAACGCTGCCCCTCGGCCACCAGTGTTCCCTCAGCCCCGAGGCCCCTCAGCAGGGCCACACTCGTGTGTCTCCAGAGCTGTACTCTGGTGTCCCGCCCACCCCAAGGCTGTCACATGTGCCTGTCTCTCTTTACGGCGGACACAGAACAGTCTTCTCCCTGTTCCTACCCTCGTTCCTCCCCCCGTAATAGCCTCACAGGTCAAAAACGTGGGATCACTTTGTTAACTATGAGGAACAGACATATGTTTTATCCTAGAGAAAGAGCCCCTCCCTGGGGTCTGTCTCATCAGGGGGCCCCTCCCCTCTTGCTGGGGCTTCTGGGCATCCTGGGAGGCAGGGAGATGGTCCCACCTCACAGGTGGGTAAGTTGAGGCCCAGCGGGAGAAAGCGACATGTCCAGAACTGCATAGCCAGGAAGAGGAAGAGACACATAGCCAGGTCGGAACTCACGTTTACCTGATCCCAACAGGGCTTCAGGCTCTAGTCACTTCTGCCCTGTCCCTTCACCTCCTGCCAGCATCGCCCATCCCTTCTCCCCACAAGTAACCAGGCTCACTCAGCTTCCCAGCACCACCTCCTCCCAGATCACTGCCACATTCTGGCCGTCCTCCCGGTACACACGTCTGCCTCTTGGGGCTCTGAGCCCACATCTCCCACCCGTGCCATCCTCACCCTACTCACCCCGGGCAGTGGCCATCTCCTGGAGGGAGTGGGTCATCTGGGTGAAGGCATCGTGCAGGTGGTTTCTCTCATCGTAGTCTGGGGGTGGGGGGGCGGTGGGGGGAGTGGCTGGGGGAGGCAGCCCTCCCCACAACACCATGGCCACAGTGTGGACAATCTCAGTCTCTGAGTCTCTGTCCCTCCCCAGACTCTATCCTATCTTCTCTGAGTCTGTTCCCCCCAGTCTCTAGCCTCCCCTCTGTGAATCTCTGCCCCGGCTCCAGTCTCTATCTTCCCCTCTGATTCTATGCCCCTAGTGCTCCATCCTTCCTTCTCTGAGTCTGACTCCCTCGGTCTCCATCCTTCCTTCTCTGAGTCTGACTCCCTTGGTCTCTATCCTTCCTTCTCTGAGTCTGAGCCCCGCTCCAGCCTCTCCTCCCCGCTCTCAGGGTCTGCCCCCCGATCTCTGTCCACCTGTGTCTGTGTGTCTCTCTGGGTCTCTCTAGCCTCTCTGGTCCCTCCCTCTGCATGCCCCCCAGGGCCCTGGAAGACGACGGGGGTTTTCTCACTGATTTCAGTATCCAGGAGGCCCTGAAAGGCTGCTGTGAACGCCTTCTCGCACTTCTCACGCTCCGGGCCCTCCACACCGCTGAAGATCTGGCAGATGCGGAGCCGCTCTTTGTAGGATGTGAAACAGAGGAGACAGGCCCAGGCGGGCACCCTGAGGACCACGAGGGCCACCAGGGTGGATGGGACAGCACTCTCTGGGGCCAGCAGGGCCATGGCAGAGGCTCTGTGTCCTGGCCCAGGGAGAAGCTGGTGACCTTTGTGAGGTCACCGTGGGGCGGGGGAGGGGCCATGGTGTGGGGTCAAAGGTTGGGTTTCAGTTGCTGGTCAAATGTCAGGCTCCAAGGTTTTCAAAGAAGGGTGCCAGGGGTCAGGGATCGGACTGGCAATCCCCAGGCTTGTGGTTGGGCCAGACGCCAGGCTCCCAAGAACCTCACCTGTGACCCTGGACGTCCTCACAGGTTAAAGGGTCTCAGGGACCCAGAGGCCGGCAGTTGTGGTGTGTGGTGGCCTGACAGACCCTGGGGTGGGGTAGGGGGGTGGATCAGAGGTGGAGATGGCACAGAGACACCACGAGGGCCCGAGACAGAAGCTGAGACACAGAGAGACGTCGGGAGGGTCAGAGACCCAGAAAGCACAGTAAAAGAGATGGAGACAGCGTCCAAGAAGCCACCATGCAGAGACACACAGAAGACTCGAGAGACACCATGGAGAGAGACAGACAGAGAAAGCAAAATAGAGGTTTCTCGATGAGAGAGAATCTCTTTCAGGGAAGGAATGCAGGGGCGAGGACAGGAGAGACAGCCCAGCTCCTCCTCTCAGGGTCCCTGCGGCAGCCCCCTGAGCCCGGCGGGGTGGGGCAGCGGTCAGGGCCCGGGGGTCCCCGCCGGGCCGTCCCGTGCAGGGCGCAGCCTGGGGAAAGCTAGGAGGCCGTATAGTGATCTCCGTGGGTGTCCTCCTCAACTATACAACCTCCTACCTCAGCCCGGGGGGCGCGGCAGGTGGACAGACAGACGGATGGACGGACAGACGGGGGCCAGGAGGGCCAGGGAGGGCGGGGAGGGCCGGGGAGGCCCCAGCCGCGATGGTGAGCCCCCGACACGGACCCACAGACACGAGCTTGTGTGCGGCGAAGGCCCCGCAAGGTCGGTTCTACGGGTGGGTGCCAGGCCCCAGGAATCCGGGCCCCCGGCCCCCTCCTCCCCAAGGAGCCCAGGAATCAGTCCCTTGGCCCTTTCCTTAGCAGGGACCCAGGAGTTCAGGCCCCCAGACCCTTTTTCCCCAAAGGTCTCTGGAGTCCAGGCCCCAGCCCCCGCCTCCCTCAGACCCGGGAGTCCAGCCAGGCCTGCCTCCCTGGGGAAGGCACAGCCTGGCTTCCTGGATGCTGGGTCAGAGGGAACCTCACCTGTGTTGGAGTTTGGCCCATTGGGCAAGACGGCTCCCTACCTACCTGTCAGATTCAGGAATCCAGGACCAGAGCAGAGGAGGACCAGGGAACATGAAACCTTCAAAGTCTCTCTGGGTAATTTTTTCCCCTCTCCCGTCCCTTCTTTCGACTTCTCATCATTTACAATGATGACAGCTATGATCCCTGAGCGCTAACACCACCCCAGGCCTCTGCTATCTCGCAGGCAGGAGTACAAGGTGCTATCAGTTCCCCCATTTTGCAGGGGAGAAGGCTGAGCCCCAAGAGGGGAAGGGATTTGGCCAAAGCTGGCCGGTAAGTGGGAGGGGCCGGGCCTGTAAGGCCAGCGGGACCCAGCACCCACTCTCTCCATCCCTGGGCCAAGAGTCTGTGCCCTTGGGGGTCCCTCCCTCTGTGCAATCGCTGTCCCTCTGTCCATTCTCTGTCTTTCTTGCTCTCACTGTCTCACGCTCCATCTCCATCGTTCTGGCACTCTCTCTCTCTGACCGTCCTGCAGTCTCTTTCTGCTGCCGCTTGGTCTCTGTCTCGGCTTCTGTCTTACCTGGTCTCCTTCTCCTCCTGCATCTGTGGTCTCTCCTTCGCTGTGCATGGCTCATTCTCCCCCTCTGTCTGTCTGTCTTCCCCTTCTCTCTCACAGTGCCTTCCTCAGTCTGTCTCTCCGCTCTCGGCTCTTATTTTCCTCCCTCCCTCTCTCTCCTTCTCTTCTCTCAATCTTTTCCTTTCCCTTCTGTCTTTCATCCTCCCCTTCTTCTCCTCTTTCCCTCCGTCTTTGTCCCTCTCATTCTCTCGGTCTCTCTCTCCCTCAATTTCTCTCTCTTGCTCCCCCTCCCTTCTCCCCTCCCCCTTCTCTCCATCTCTCATGTCTCCTTCTCTCCCTCTGTCTCTCTCCTTTTCTCTCTCTTTCTCCTTCCCTCCCTCCTGGGTCTCTCTCCTCCCTTCCCTCCCCCTCCATCGCTTCTCTCTTTCCGTCTCCCTCCCTGTTCCTTCTCTCTCTCTCTTTCTGTCTTTCTCCTTCCTTCTCTCCCTCCCCCTCGCAGCTCAGAGCCAGGTCTGGAGCTGGGGGTGGGGTGGGGGTGGTTGGAGAAGGGGCCCAGGGCTGGGGTAGCGACCTGCTGAGGAGGGGGAGGAGAGGCGGGAAGGGGCGGAGGAGGAAAGGGGGAGGCGGGGGCCAGAGACGGGTCTCCGGTCCCAGCTCTCATCCCCCTTCCCTCCTTCCCAACCTCCCAGACCCTCAGGCGGGGGCGAGAGTCAGGCCAAGGTGGGGAGGAAGGGGAAGGGAGGAGGCTGCCCCCGCCCCCCCCCACACAACCTGGCCCAGAGCCCAGGCCTGGGTTCCCAGCATGCCCCGGGGCTGCCTGGGGCCTGAGGTGGGGGTGAGAGGAGAGGGGAAGCTGAGAATCTTCAAGATTTGCAGGACCTGAGCATCTCCCCACTCCCCCAACAAATTTCTCCTTGGGGAAACTGAGGCCCAGAGAGAAGGGTCAGGACTTGTTCAAGGTCACTGGACAAGGCGTTGGTGGAGATGCGAACTCCTGGGCCCAGAGGCCCGATTTGGGGAAGGGGTTGGCGCTGGACTTCCCCCAGGTCTGGGTCCCCCTCCCCCTCTCTGCAGACCCTGGGGAGCCCCCAAGGGTCAGAGAGCAGACCCAAACAGTCTGGCACCATGGCAACCAGCTGGCCCCGCCCCCTTAACCCCCGGAGGGCTGGACTCCAGCTGGGGCTAAGGGGGAGGTGGGGACTCCTGGGTTCGGGGGAGGAAGAGGCTGGGGGCCCGAACTCGGGGGTTTCGTGGAGAGTGGGGGCTGGAGTGTGGACTCCCAGGTCTGTGGGAAGAGGGTGGAGACCCAGACTCCTGGGTCCTGGGGTAGAGGGGGCTAGGGATTTGGATTCTGGAATTCTGAGGGAGGGGGCAGCGTTGCCGACTCCCAGATCTAAGGGAGGAGGGGGCTGGGGCCTGGAATCCCGGGTCCCCAAGGGAGCATGGATGCTGGGCCTCTCCTCCGCCAGACATCCCCTGCCCCCGCCGCTGACCCTGGCCTGTCTGGCAGCCCAGACAACCTCCCCCCTCCTCCGCGGCCCCCTCCCACTTGCACGGCTCACCCTTGACCCTTCAAAGCCCCGCAGCCCCTTCCCTGCCCCTCCCCCTCCCCTCCAGCCAGACGTTAACCCTTCCGCTGCCAGGGGCACCTCCAAAGCCAGAGTCTCTCCCTTAGCCTCCCCCGAGGGTTCGGGCGGGCATCTTGCCCCCAGGCTCCTCCAGCTCCGTACCCAGCTCCCACAGCCCCATCTCTCTCCGCGCAATGTAATCCAGTAGGTGTTCCCTGCCCTCTCTTCCTTCTGGACCCCGGAATCCAGGCCCCCAGCTCCCTCCTCCAAGGATTCAGGAGTCTGGGTTCCCAGCCCCCTCCTCCTCCCAGAACCCAGAAATCCAGGCCCCCGGCTGCCTCCTCCCTCAGGGACCCTGGAGTCCGGGCCCCGGGCCCCATCCCCCTCCCTTTCCGCAGACTCACGGCTCCGCGGCTCCCGCGTCGGAGGGAAGGGTCTCCTCGGTCAGCCCCCAGGCCGGCTGAGCTGGCCCCACCACCGCCGGCTCCTCTCCATCCTCTCCCCGCCTCCGCCGCCCCACGGCCTCTCCCCTTCCTCCTCGCGTCCCCACCATCCTCCTTCCCTCCGCCCAGGCTCCCTCCGGCCTGCGCCTCCTCCCCGGCTCCGCAGGCCGGCTCCCCCGCCCGGGACCCCGCCGGACCAGCCCCCTCCCCAGGGGGCCCCCGCCCCGGCCCCTCCCCACCGCCCGGCCCAGTCCGGCCTGGCTTCCCCCCTGCCCCGGAGCTGGCCTCGGTCCAGGGGAAAAAATTCCATCCAGCCCCGGGGAGGAGGAGCGGGGCGGGGGAGGGCGCGGGGAGGGGCGGCCGGGCCGGGGAGCGTGACGCAGGGAGGAGGGAAGGGACAAAAGGAGCCGGGAGGCGGCGGGGCCGGCGGCGCTCCCACTTCTCCGTCCCTCCTCCTCCCTCGGCCGGGGCCCGTTTCTCTCTCTTCGCTCCGTTTTCCCTCGTTCCTCCACCTCTGCTCCCTGTCCTTCTCTCTGCCTGCCTCCTTGCCCTGTGCATTCTCTCCTCTCTCCTCTTCCTCCTTACACCTCCGCCCCATCGGGGTCTGCTCCTCTCCTCTCTCTCTCCCAGCCTCCTTCCCCTCCCTCCGCTTGGGTCTCTCCACCCACCCAACCACCCATTGGGGCCTCAGAGGTGAATCAGACCCGTATCTGCCCTTGCAGACGCGGAGCTCACGGTCTGATGGAGGAGACAGACGCAGCGCAGACAGTTTCAATCCAGGGTGATCGGGGTACGACAGAGGGGAGACCAGCGGCTGTTCGATCCCAGGGGCAGAAGGAATCCTTTTAGCTGGAGACATCTGAAAGGACCTCCAGAGAAGGCAGTGGTTGTGGCCTGACCTCCAAGAACTGGGAGAAGTTAAATCTGAATTGTCGAGATAGAGGCAGGCAGCAGTAAGGGCGGTCCAGGCAGAGGGCACGGCTTAAGCAGAGGCCCAAAGGCAGGAAACCAGGGGCGATTCCGGGAGAACAGCACAGCAGTCAAGTCCGACGGGAGCCTTAGAGGACAGGAGCCAAGGAGCATAGAAGATGAGGCTGAGGTGGTGGGCGGGGCCAGGTTCGCAAGCGCTCTGAAGGCCAGACTGGGGACTTTCTCCTGCGGGTGATGGGGAGCCACAGAGGGTTGTGAGCAAGGGGGAGGGGCAGGGTCTGATCTGGGAGTCAGAAGGCCCTCTCTGGGGCCCTGTGGGGGACGGATAAAGGACGAAAGAGTGGTGGAGGCTGGGAGAGTGGGGAGGAGGATGCGTGAGCTGGGGCTGGGACCCTGCAGGCAGAGAGGAGAGGATGGGGCAGAGAATGTGAGGAGGCAGGAGGGACTGGGGACTGACAGCCTGTGGGGGGTGACAGGGAGGGAAGAAGTGAAAAAGATACAACAACCGGGAGTCCGTCTGGCCCAGGAAATGAGGGGACAAGAGTTGTTCCCAGGGGGGAACCGGGAGGAAGAAGGAAGATGCTGTGCACAGCTTGGAACTTAGTGGACATTAGGGGCCTGGGGGCATTTCGAGAAGACACTCAGGCAATGGTGGATATAGGTTCTGGGGCTCTAACAATGACAAATGCATTTCCCTCCCACCCTGTCCCCTGGCCACCCAGTTCTTTCTGGGGACGTCTTATGCTTACCAATTTCTTGTGTGTCTTTCCAGTAGAATTCTATACCTATGCACATGTGTTATACCATTCTCCTTCTATTTCTGTCCCCAAATGGGATCACATTATTCTACACTTTGCTTTTTTAACACTATATCCTGAAGATTCCCCTATATCCATGCGTATAGAACTACCACATTCATTTTAGTGGCTGCATAGTATTTCATTGTATACATTTATTTATCCATACTTATTCAATCAATTGGGAGCTTTTTTTTACATAAAGAAACTAATGCTTATGCATATGCAGATTACTGAGGATTTTTGTTTTTTACTGATTTCTTCCAATGCTCTTAAGCCTCTGGACCCAAGTTTTGACAAATACTTACTTCTAGGTCTTTTAAAATTTATTAGTATTTACTAATGATAGGAATAATAATAATCAATACACATACCGTTTATTGAATGTCTACTTGGGGACAGGCCCTAGGTTGGGTATTGGTTATACATTATATCATTCAATCATCACAACAATCTTATTTTTAGGGGCTGTTATTATCTCCATCTAAGGATGGGGCAACTGAGGTTCTGCATAGTGAGTTGCCCAAGCTTACAAAGCGAGTAGCAGAGCCAGGATTCGAACTCAGGCCTCTGTGGCTCCACATTCCATGCCCTTTCTTTGGAGGTGGGCTGCCTCCATGAAAATGTGGAACTACTTGAAATTGACATTGGGCACATGGGAGACTTGCCATGCACACAAATCTGCACCTTGACTTGGTATCTAGAATCACCCTGCGTTCACCCCAGATGCCCCATAGTGAGGTCAGGACGGTAACCACACCATTCTGCTGTCTCTGTCCTGGGCTTGATGCCGCTGTGTTGTGATTCTGGGTGTCGGTCTGTCTGGGAATTCTATGAGGGCACGCTGTCCGGCTGAGTCATCTCTTTCCTCAGTATCGCTCAGCTTAGGGTGTGGCTCAAAGCAGAGGCTCAGGAAAATGTTTGCTAAATGAATGAACGGAGGGATAGATGAATAACAAATGGGTTGTGGGTTAGGCTGGGACTTGCTGAAGCCTCTGGGATAAGAGAACATAATTCCCGTTAGTTCCTGAAACATAAGGGTTACATTCCTATTGGTTAGTGAGTCACTGGGGCCACTGTTTCCATCATTCTCTGGTATCCAGGGTTCACAAATCCCTCGGCACCTAAGACTCAGCTACTGCAGTTCCCACAAATCCCTGAGACTCTGGATCCACCATTCCCAGCAGCCCCCGTGGCTCAAGATCCGCTATTCCCATCAGCCCCTGAGACTCAGGATCCGCCATTCCTGTCAGCCCTGGAGACACAAGGGCCACCATTCCCATCAGACACTGGCACACAAGTACTGCTTGCAATTCCCATACCCCTAAGATACAGGGACCACCATTTCTATCCATGCCTGAGACACAAGTTCCACCATTCTTATACCCTGGAACAACATGTCAATGGAAAACAGAAGCATTCTGCCCTTTACCAGGCCGTCCCCAAGTTCCTGGGACTGTTAACCAGGAAGACACTTCTGCCTGCCCTTGGGTAGGTCTGAGTCACCTGTCAATGCTGTAGACAAGGAGGCACCAGCTCATGAAGAACATCAAAGCAGAGAATCTTCCACGTGAGGGATCAGCCTGAAACCCGAGATAATCCTACAGCACCACCAGAGAATCCTTCCAGGTGGGGGTTAAACCCTAAACTCAAGATAATCCTACAGCACCGCTTAATCCCCACAGGTGTGATAATCCTCAGGTGGGCAGAGAATCCGCAATACCAGATGATCCAAAGGCAACAGATGCTCCGATTGCGCCATTGAATAATCCCAAGTGGTAACTTGCCCCTGGTGGACTTGTAAGAATTGAGGACGGGGGCATCTTTTCTGTGTGTGTGTGGTGGTGGTGGTGGGTGGGGAGAAGATGACAAATCTCATTCCCACTATTAACCCTTTCCTGGACAAGGAGAGTTGGAAAAATAGGTGTGATTTGAGGGGGAGGGTTTCTCTATAGCCCGTCTCTTCCCTTTAGGATCATGCCTTCTGGTCCTCTGAATAGTGAAGGGTGTTCAGCTGCTCTGCTCTTCACGTCTCAGCAAAAAGTAGGGGAGGTGGTTCCGAGGTTCAAGGAGATTGGAGCCGGAGTGGCTATAGGTTTTGCAAGCCCATCAGCTGCCATGCACTTCCCCTTCCTCTCGTAAGAGAGCCTCTCTTTCCTGTGAGAAACCCACTCCATGTGACTCTAACAAGAATGTTCTAGCATAGTGCCCCTCTTCCCTCCCCTAAAACACATGGGCTGGGTGTGAGACCCAATACGGGCCAATCAGAACATTCATTTGTGACCCCCTCCCCATCAGACCTGATTAGAATTCAAGATTTTATTTTCTTATCCTGACACTTTATTTTATGTCTTCTAAAATATACAAACATTTGTATGCACATATAGTGTTTTTGATTTCCAGGAACAGAATTGTACTGTATGCAGCAAGGCAGTGAAGAGCACAGACTCTGAAGCCAGATTGCCCGGGTTTGAATCCTGGCTCAGCTATTCCACCAGCTGTGTCTCTTTATGCCTCAGTTTTGTCATCCCTGAAATGGGTATGATAATAATAGTACCTACATTGCAGGGTTGAGACCAGAGGACTAAAGGAGTTAACATACGTAAAGTGCTTAAAATAGTGTCTGGCACATGGTAAGCCACAGAGAAGAATTATCTGTTGTTATTATTCCTACAGAGAAATATAGAGCTAGGTCTTTCTTCTAGTCTCTTCATGCACAGGCACAGAATTTCACATAAATGGGACAATTTATACTCATGGAGATATTCTTATGACACTCATCCTCTCCCCTCCCCCACCTTTCTTTTTTCTTTGCTTGCCTTTTCTGGACTTCTCCCTTTTTGTCCATTCCCCAGGGGCCTCTCCACCCTAAATCACGTGTCTGTTGTGGGTTTAGTTGTGTCTTCCCAAAAAGGTAGGTTGAAGGCTTAATCTCCAGTGCCTGTGAATATGACCTTATTTGGGGGTCTTCACAGATATAATCAAGTTAAGATGAGGTCATACTGGGTTAGGGTGGGCCTTAATTCCGATGACTGGTATCCCTAAAAGGAGAGAGAGATTTGAAGATACAGAGGAGACCCACAGGGAGGAAGGCCATGTGACAACGGAGGCAGAGACTGGAGTGATGCGTCTCCAAGCCGAGGACTGCTGGACCATCAGAAGCTAGAAGAGGGGAGGAAGGAGCCTTCAGAAGGAGCTGATACCTTCATTTCTGACTTCTGGCCTCCACAACTGGGAGAGAATCGATTTCTGTTGTTTCAAGCCACCCAGTTTATGATAATTTGTTATGGAAGTCCTAGGAAAGCAATACAGGATCTATGTTAACCTATGTGTCTTTCCATTCTTTACTTCACACATACACGTACATGAGTTTACACATATTTAGTTTGCATTAAAATTCAGCTTCAGGGGCTGCCCCCGTGGCACAGTGGCTAAGTTCGTGCACTCCTCTTCTGCAGCCCAGGGTTCATAGGTTCAGATCCTGGGCGTGGACCTAGCACTACTTGTCAAGCCACACTGTGACGGCATCTCACATAAAATAGAGGAAGACTGGCACAGGTGTTAGCTCAGGGCCAATCTTCCTCACAAAGAAAAACAAAATTCAGCTTCAGCGTCAATATTTGCTCAAATTTTTCTATTTGACTTCAGCCTGACCTCGGTCTTTTGAACGCTGAAACCTTGAATGCCAGCTTGGAGGTCATTTCTGGCATCCTTGAACTTGTGTGGGCTCCATGAATATGTGATCAATTGGGTTACCATGGCTTCCAGCCAGGGCAGTAACATTAGTAATATCGAACAAGTCAGGTTCTGCCTATCTAATGTTGAGATCTCAACAGTCACTTTCAAATTTAAATATCCGAGTGAAAATCTTGTGTGTGTGTTCAAGGTTAAAACTTTGTCAGTTGAAGTATAGGCGTGTGTGTGTGTGTGTGTGCATGTGTGTGTGTATAATTATATAATTACTGGAGTAAGAGGCTGAAATAATTAATGAGGATGTGAAAGCCTGTGGGTTGCAGGTGGGGTTTTTCAGGAAAAGCATTATGAAACAGAAATTAGAGTTCAGGAAATTAGTTGGAGAGTACTTTCAGGTTTAATACCTGGAAGGGAGTGAAGAAAGCAGGATTAGGCAGTGGGAGATGCTGAACTATTGTGCAGTCATAACAAAGGCCTCAGCCAATCCCAGAGGGAGCTCTGGAGCTCGAGGGCCCTGAAGATGTGTCTGGAATTGGGGGCCAGGGAACTGGGCCTTTATGTTACACGTTGACCACTCGTTGGATGTGGGCTGCCCCCAGGAAGGGGCTATGACCATGGGCCAGGTGGCTTCTTTCCTCTGAAGGCAGCTCTGGGAGGGAGCACTCAACTTAAGCCTTCAACACTCCCAGTAGCTGAAGGAGTGAATGAGCACTTCAGTCCTGAGAGGGGAAGTCTGTCCACTACACCCTGCCTTTTATGCCCCCAAGCAAATTTTGAGAACGTCTGTGTAATTATACAAATCAGGAAATGGAATGAGTGTTGGTATAAATATCAAAGGAAAGCCATTTTAGATATCATTAGGAAGAAAATTTCCTTCTCTTGGAACTGACAAATGCCTGTAAAAATGTAAATAATAACAAGAGGCAAAAAGCAAAGATTACATTAGACGGAAATTTAGAGATCATTTTAATGGCAGGTGGCCTTCTTTGTAGAATTATGGGGTATTCTAACATTCATATTATTAAAGAAAGTAGTCTTTAATAGCTGTATTTGAGGTTTTAGTTATTTAATTTCATTTAGGCCAGGCATCCTTTAAGAAAAAGTATTACTTGAACATATTTCACATTTGTGAAGATGAGTTTAAGAAGATTGACAACTTTGCTGACTTAAATTTCTTGAAGTGGAAATAAATTTCTCTAAAATCGTGTATAACAACTTCTATGAGAAATCGTCTTTGATCCAGACATAATAATGAATGCAAAGAGCACCAAAAAAAAGGAAAGTGTTATAAATGAGGTCCCCTAAACACATTTTGTTTTCACTAATCGAACTTCAAAACAACATACTATTTTATAAGAATACTTTAAAAAGATAAAGTCGTTTTAGTTTTGAGTCTGTTGAAGCCAAAACTTTAAGTCAAAGCTGCCAAACTGCTTACTGTCAACCATTTTCAGAAGTGGAAGATGAATGATTTTAAAAATTTGTCCAAGCTATTATTCCTAAAAGCTCTTTCTAGAAAACATGTTTTGAAAAATTATTCTGCATTATATTAACCTGTGCACAGAATTATTGTATATACTACTTCTGTATCTTATACCTGAAACTTTGGACATGAAGAAACACTCAAATGTCTTTTTATCTGATTGGTAATGAATTTAACTGTATTTCTGTTTAGTTGCTGAGATATTCCTGGGCCTCACGCATAGTTTACAACATAGTGAGTATAGTTTATGCAATGTATGTAGAATGGAAAATCAGTAGTCGTCATTGATAATGGGATAAAAATGGCGAAGGCTATGAACGAATTCAAAATTACAAGCGTATTGTGATTTGTTCACACTCTTTAGTTCTGTGTCCAAAAACAATGAGAGCTCAGTATCGGGTGAGAGAATTCCTGGCCATAAGCAGAAAGATGGTGGGCTCCACTTTCATCATTCTTCTTCAGCCAAAATCAAGCTCATGACATGGGAGAAATCCTGGAATTGTGTTCATCCAAGGTATTCAAACAAAATGGCAATGAAGTTCTTCCATGTTCAAAGGGCTATTGAACAAAAAGAGATTTTATGGTGTGCTCTGCAGATGGCAGTGCTAACAGATCAGGAATAACTGACAACCGAGAGTTGCTTGCAGAGGAAGTGATTTATGTGATGAACCTACTGAAAAAGAAGCCAAGCCAATGTGCTCTGAAGGCAGCAGCATTTCATATGTGATACATGTTATAAACACTTTGCTATCAATGCCTGGCCCTGTGGCCAAGTGGTTAAGTTTGTCTGCTCTGCTTTGATGGCCCGGGGTTCACCAGTTAGGATCCTGGGTGCAGACCTATATACCGCTCATGACAACATGCTGTGGCAGCATCATACATAGAAGAACTGGAATGACCTGCAACTAGGATATACAACCATGTACTGGGTCTTTGGGGAGAAAAAAACAAAAAGAGGAAGATTGGCAACCAATGTTAGCTCAGGGCCAATCTTAAAAAAGAAAAAAAAAACTTTGTTATCATTCCACTCCTACCAAGGTGCTGAAATTAGTGTGCAGCTTTTGAAAGCTGAGCTAAATTTGGAAATTCAGACAGCATTTTTGTGGTGTAGGCAGGCTTCTAAAATGGCTCCCAATGATCTCCTCTTCCTGATAGTCATGCCCTTGTGGGTAATCCAACTCCCCTTGAGTGTGGGCTGGACTTAGTGACTTGCTTATAACCAATAGAATATGGCGAAAGTGATGAGATGTCGTTTCATTTCCACGATTAGGTTACTAAAGGACTGGGACTTCTGTCTTGCTAGCAAATTCTCCCCATCGCCTTCTCGACTTTCACTGATTAATGAAGTAAGTGGCTGTATTTGAGGCGCCATTTTGGAAAGGCCCATGTAGCAAGAAACTGAGGGAATCCTCTGGCCAACAGCTAGCAAGGAACCAAAGCATTCATTCCAAACTCCTGTGAGGAACTGAATGTTGCACAAAACCAATGAATGAGCTTGGAAGTGGATCATTCCCCAGTAGGGCATTTGAATGAGACTGCAGGTCTTGGACCAACACCTTGATTACAGCCTAGTGAGAAACTGTGAAACAGAAGACAACAAAAGCTGTACTCGAATTCCTGACCCACAGAAACTAGGAAATAATAAAAGTGTGTTGTTTTAAGCTGCTTAGTTTTGGGGGTAATTTGTTATGTAGCAATAGGTAACTAATATGATATTGACATCTTGAAAGTCAATGGCCTTGCTCCACTGTCGTATTTCTCATTCAAAATTTATGGACAGATTCTTCCTGAGTGATTATGTAGAACAATGAGTGCATGCAAAAATCTTAGAAAAGAAAACCGTAAGAGAGGGCAGGACTTTCTTATTTTTGATAATGGTGGGTTAGGTTATTTAGAGCAGCCCTCCTGTTGAAAACAACTCAAAATGCTGGATAAAATACTAAAAACGTTCTTTACAAAATCATGAAGGATATGACAGTCTAGTGAGGAATTTCCCAGCTGAAGTTTAGAACACAGAGAAATAAGCAGAGCATTCCAGGCTGCTTTTCAGCAATCGGCACTTGCTTATTCTGATTTTGAAAATGACCTCTAGTTTTCAACAGGTTCCTGGAATAAGGAGAACTGAAATAAAGATGGTACCAGCCTGGGGCCATGGCAAATGGAAGAGCAAACTTAGACCCTCTCTGGAGGAAGGTACTTCAATCGCAGAAGGAAAATGATCCCAGGCAGAAGGACTGAGATACATAAAGCAAGAAGATGGTAAGTGTATAGATGCCAGGAAACTGATGGCACTGTCAGGGGCCTACTTAATCATAAATTAATGAAGGCCCTAGTCACAGAGGTGTAGCAGCATTAAGACATCCAGTAAGGGGTGGTAAAGGATCCACATACAAGCAGCAGTGGGAAAGCCATTACTGACTCCAGACCTGATGGGGCAAGAGAGGGAAGGATGCTGCCTGAAGCCAGTGAGAACTGTAGGCTTGGAGGATCGGAGTATTAGTCAGGGTTCTCTGGAGAAACAGAACTAATAGGATATAGATATGCTGTTTTCGTTGGTGCCGTCCAGTCGATTCCGACTCGTAGGGACACTGTACAGCAGAGTGGAACCCCATGAGGTCTTGTCGTGCCATCCTTTCTCACCTTCCGGTGCAACATTAGACAAATGCTCCACTGCTGTTCAAAGGGTTTTCATGGCCACTTTTTTCCAAAGTGCGTGATCAGGTCCTTCTTCCTAGTCCGTCTTAGTCTGGAAGCTCCATTGAAACCTGTTCACCGTGGGTGACCCTGCCGGTATTTGACATACTGGTGGCATATCTCTCAGCATCACAGCAACATGCAGCCGCCACAGTATGACAACCGACAGATACATACAGATACGTAGGAAGAGGTTTATGATAGGGAATTGGCTCATGCAATTATGGACGCTGAGAAGTTCCGCAATCTGTTCCATTAAGCTGGGCATTAAAAAATTTGCAAAAATGTAAAACAATGCCGCTCTTTTCATTGATTTTGTTTTCAAAAACATAGCTATTTTTCATTAAATATATTCTTTGTATTAACAGGTAATTTTTAAATATTGTTTTAAATGAATTAATACTCAAATATTTTGACATTTTCTCAGTTTTAATTTCTAATAAAGCAAATATTGATAG